ACGCGGCCGCCTCGCCACGAGCATCACTCCCTGAACCCGAGCACACGTCCCCCACCCGCGCCATTAACTCCGCATGCACCTAGTACCGCACCTACGCCACACCACAACGCCCTACACTCCTACCAGCACACATCACAGCCCATACTCACACCCTCGCATGGCAGCCCACGGACCACAAGGTGCCTTACTCCTACCCTTCCCACAGGCCTCACTCTACCCTCCCACGGGCCTTACTGCTACCCTCCAAAGCCACGGCCTCAACTCTACCTCCCCACCGGCCCTCACTCTAACCCTCCCACGGCCTTACTCTACCCTCCCACGGCCTTACTCTACCCTCCCACGGCCTTACTCTCCACCCTCCCACGGCCTTACTCTACCCTCCCACGGCCTTTACTCTATACACCGGCCAAACCCCATCACACCAATCCCACCGGCCTTTAATCTCACTAAGACCCTCCCGCCTTACTCTAGCTAACGCCCCAACTCCCACGGCCTTACTCTACCCTCCCAGCGCGCTTACTGCTACCCTCCACAACCCCCACGGTCTCACTCTACCCCTCCAACGTCACCACGGCCGTTACTCTGAGACCCGCTCCCACGCCTTACCTAACCCTCGCCGACCGCTTTCTTTCTTTTTTTCTCTCTACTCCTTACCCGAGCCCTACCCTCCACACGGCCTCACTCTATCCTAAAAGAATGGGCCGTTCTCCCCTCCCACCGGCCTCTTACTGCTTAGCGACGAATTCTTTCGTCGTCGCCTGGCCTGCCCTCCTGGGCCAAGGCCCTACTCTACCCTCACTGGTGCCTGTGTCGATACTACGGGCCTTAATCTGAAACTACTGGGCGTCCCGGCGTCGTCGCTTACCCTCCGGGACCACGGGCCTTAGCATCTACCCAGTACCGGTACGAGTGGTACCCCGTGCCCTGAAGTGGAGGGGGCGTGACGGACGCGAGACCTGCAGCCTCACTCTCCCCTCCCACTCACCCGTGTGAGGGGCGTGCACGATGGCCATCCACTTCTGACCTGCTGCACCGGCCACGGCTTACTCCTAACCCACTGCACGCTAGCGCGGGCCCTTACGGATCGAGGCCTACGAATGTGCCCTCCTCCCACGTGGTGCCATATCGTACCCTCCCACGGCCGTTACTCTACCTCGCCATCCCAACGGCCTCACTCTATCCTCCCGGCCTTACTCTAGCCCTCCCGACGGCCTCACTCAGCGGCGACGGTGGCTCCCAATCTTTCCAAACTCCTGCCGCCCTGGACGACATCTACCCTCCCACGGCCTCACTACTCTACTCCCACGGCCTATCTCCCCTGCCCACGGCCTTACCTCTACCCTGCTTCCACGCGCTTTACTCATACCCTGCGCACCGGCCGTTACTCTACCCTCCCACGGCCTCACTCTACCCTCCCACGGCCTCACTCTACCCTCCCACGGCCTCACTCTACCCTCCCACGGCCTTACTATCTATCCCTGACCCCGCCTTACGGCCATATTCCTGCCCTCGTATCACCACACTTTGAGCCCTCATACCGGCCTACTAAGCCCCCGCCCCTCCACATGTCCCTCGCCACCGCCCTACCCCCCTTGCCCCATACTGTAACTTTCCGACCCCCCCCCCTTCCATGACCTCCCACCGGCGCCTCTCACTATGCCATGCTCCCCCGTGCCTCCCTCCTATCCTACCTCGCGAGGTGGCCCCCGCGCTCGTCCAACGGCCACCCCTGTACGCGCGCATCACCCCTCCATGCGTCGTCACTCACTAGTGCAGCCCTCTCCGCGCTGACCACTCCTCCTACCTACCATCGCCCTCGCCCGGCTAAGTGCAACCCCTGTACCTCGGCGCTTCACCGCCCCATGTCTCTCACTATGGCAGCCCTCCCTGCCCGTGCCCTCTGACTACCCCTACCAACCGCCTACCCCTCCACCCCTGTAACAGCGCGGTCACCCCCCATGTCTCCTCACCGTGCAGCCCTCCGCCCTTGCCCTCCCTCCTACGCTACCCCTAGCCGTGGAGCCCCCTCCGGCCCTGTAGCGCGCGCATGAGCACCAACATGTCTCTCACCGTGCAGCCACCCTCCCCTGCCTCCCTGCGGCTCAGCTCTTCTTTAGTTTCCTCAATTCGAGGCACGAGCATCCGGGCGGGCAGAGCTTTGGGTCACCGAGCCGGGCGAAGTAGGCGGGAGAGCCACGTTGTTCGGCGCGGTAGAACGCCGACAGCGCCTTCTCAGGCGCTTCTCTGCGTTGGCTGCCATCGCCGCATAACACCGACGCCTATGCTGGGCGCGAGGCACTTGGTGTGGCGTCGTCCGTTAATCACCTGACAGTAGATAGCCCTTATTTCGGTCGTACCTGCAAGGATCTTTAGAAGATGTTAGCTTTGTCCTGCTCGCACTCTCGGTCTGGTCTTTGAATCTCTCTCTCTTTTCTCTGTTTTTGCCCCAACGCTTCTCTCTGCACTCTCTCTCTCTCTGCTCTGCTCTTGTTGGCCCCACCTCTCTCTCAGCTGCGCCTCACATCTCTCACTCTGTCCCTCTCTCTCTCTCTCTCTTCCTCTCTTTTTGGCCTCGCACCGTCTCTCTCACTCTCCTCCTCATCCCGTCCCTTATTTTCGCCCAGCTCTCTCTCGTTTGACCTCTTCCTCCCCCGGTCTTTTTGCCTCTACTCTCTCTCCACTTCGCCTCTTCTCTCCCTATTTTCGCCCGCACCTCTCTCTCAAGACTCTCTCTCCCCTCTCTTTTGCCCGCACCTTCGGGTCTCTTAACTCTCCTCTCTCCTCTTGTCCCTGCCTCTTCTTGCCCCCCTCTCTCGCTCGCAACTCCTCCTCCTCTGGGACTCCTCACGTTTTCTCCCTCTTCTTGCCACCTCCGTCTCTCACTTACTATCTTTTCTCTTCTCGTTTTGCACGTATGTTTATAACCGGGAGACGGCAGTTCCGGACGAGAGAACAGACGACGGAGCAACAGAGACGCTCGGGGAAGCAGAACCGTACTTGAGGTTCGGGGTTGTCGTATGGGATAGTAAGGCCGCTGGGGGCTTGCTTCGCGCTTCATGCGCAACGGCGCTCTGAAACTATCGTCCATCACTGTGGACACCGGCATCGTTCAATGCCCGCAGCGTTGATCGCCGTCCAGGATGACAGCAGCTGCAACCATGGCAACGGAAACGCTCTCGCTTTTATACAGAGAAGAAAAACGGGCGGATTATTTCAAGCTTTTTTTTTAGAAAAATGCTGATGCAATATGCAATACGAATACAAAATGCAGATTTTTATGAAATCGTATAATTAGGATATTACACCTTGAAATCCTGATTTGGCATATTCTTAGTGACAGGGGCGATTTTGCTACAAAGGAGCTGATGTGTGAGGACAGGGAGATTATTGTTGCATGGCGAACATCTCTGTGAGGTGTTTTATATGCCTTTTCTCACCTAGTGATTAGACATCATCATTTGATCAGTGCCTCCTCATCATCATGTGCGGAGCTATCATGCGTTCGCATTCTTTCACCGATGGCTTGATCGATCATTAATCATCCTCGGATACAATCTTCATCGTATCAATATGCCTCGCATACATCTACGCAAGACCGTCAAGTACCCTCCATCATCATCAATCATCACCAGCGCGCAGCGGAGCGTGGGGTACAGCCGTGGACACAGTCGTGAGTGGGTGTATGCTCACATGTTCTAGGCCTCTACCTGGTTGGGTGAGTAGTGTTTCTACGCTTAGCTGGTTCGCGGTGAGTAGTGTTCCTAGGATACCTGCTTGGTGAGTAGTCGTTAACTACGCTTACCTGGTTGGGTGAAGTAAAGTGTTCTAGGTTAGCGGGTGTGGGTTGCGGTGAGTAGTGATTCTAAGCTATAGCCTGGTTGGGTGAGTAGTGTTCTAGGCTACCTGGTTGGGTGGAGTAGTGTTCTAAGCTTATACGACATGAGTTGGGTGAGATAGTGATTACTAGGTTCCCATGGTTGGGTGAGTAGTGTTCTAGCGGGCTTTACACTGGTTGAGTGAGTAGTTGATTCTAGTATACCTGGTTGGGATGAGTAGTGATTCTAGGCTTTAGCGCTGGGCTTGGCGTGCGTATGATTCTGGTTTCAGCTGGCTTTGGAGTGATGTGAAGTGTTCTAGCTACCTGACTTGAGTGCAGTAGTTTCTAAGTTACCTTGTGGTTGGTGAGTAGTGTTTCTAGTTACGGGTGGTGTGGGTGAGTAGTGTTCACTAGGTTACCTGGTTGGGTGAGTAGATGTTCTAAGGCTTACTGGCTTGGGTGAGTGAGTGTTCTAGGCTTACGTGGTTGGGTGGAAGTAGTGTTCTAGGTTACCTGGCTTGGGTGAGTTAGTGTTCTAGGTGTCTGGTTGGGTGGTAGTGTTCTAGCTTACCTGGGTTGGGTGAACGGTACTAGTCTCTAGTTACCTGGGTTGGCGTGAGTAGTGTCCCTCCTACGTTACCTGGTTGGGTGGTAGTGTTCTAGCTGTACACTGGTTGGGTGAGTAGTGATTCTAGGTTACCTGGTTGGGTGACGTAGTGTTCTACAGCCTTGCTGGTTGGGAGACGTAGTGTTGCTAGTTACCTGGTTGGGTGAGTAGATGTTCGTAGCTACCTGGTTGGGTGCAGTAGTGTTCTAAGGTTACCCTGGTTGGGTGAGTCAGTGGTCTAGTTACCTGGCATTGGGTGACGTAGTCGTTCTAAAGGCGTTACCAGTGGTTGGGCTGCGTAGTGTTCTATAGCTTACCTGGTTGGGTGAGGTAGTGTTCTATGGTTACCTGGTTTGGGGTGAGTAGTGTTCTGAGGTTACGCCTGGTTGGGGCTGAGTAGTGTTCTAGGGGCGTGTGACCCGCTCGTTCATTTGGGTGAGCTAAAGAAATAGGTTCTAAGGTTACCTGGTTGGGTGATAGTGTTCTTAGCGGGTTAACGACTGGTTGGGTGAGCTAGTGCTTACTAACGGCGTTACCTGGTTGGGTGAGTAGTGTTTCTAGGTACCCACCTGTTGGGGTGAAACGTCGTGTTCCTAGCTAACTGGTTGGGTGAGTAGTGTTTCCTAGGTTTACCTGGTTGGTGAGTATGTTCTAGCTTACCGTTGGTTGGGTGAGTAAGTGTTCCTGGGTTACCTGGTTGGGGTGAGTAGTCGTTGCTAGGCTACCTGGTTGAGTGAGTAGTGTTCTAGGTTAGCCTTGGTTGGGTGAGTAGTGTTGCTACGCTTTACCTGGTTGGGTGAGTAGTGTTCTAAGTTACCTGTTGGTGAGTAGTGTTCTAGCTACCTGGTTGAGTGCAGTGAGTGTTCTAGCTTACCTGGTTGGGTGAGTAGTGTTCTAGGTTACCTGGTTGGGTGAGTAGTGTTCTAGGTTACCTGGTTGGGTGAGTAGTGTTCTAGGTTACCTGGTTGGGGTGAGTAGTGTTCTAGGGTTACCTGGTTGGGTGAGTAGTGTTCTAGCTTACCTGGTTGGGTGAGTAGTGTTCTAACGCCAGTGTTCTAAGTAACGCCGGTTGGTGAGTTAGTGTTGCCTAGCTTACCTGGTTGGGTGAAGTAGTGTTCTAAGCTTACCTGTTGGTTGAGTACGTGTTCTACACGGGTGAGGGTGGTTGGGTGAGTAGTGTTCTAGCCAGTGTTTCTAGGTGTCGCCTAGGTGTCGTGCGTACAGGCCCGGGTTGAGGCAGCGATGCTGTAAGGAGCGTAGCGCGCGTGGACTTGACACGTTCGCCCGCGCCACGTCGTAGAACGAATAGTTCAGCGACGCCGCATCACCGTGCGCCCTCTGGTGCTGAAACGTCCCAAAACAAAAACACTTGGCACGAGAAGTCGCTGGGTTGATGCGGCGCAGGGATTTTGTTCAAATTCTTGGGGTGTTAGTTGTTATTTTATAACAACTACTATCATGTTGTTATTATCATCACTATTATATATTATTATCCCCATCGTCATCATAATCATCATCACCATTTTAATATTATTATTTTTATTAAATATTATTTTTATTAAATATTATTTTTATTATCATCATCATCGTCTTATATAATTTTATTCTAGTCATTATTCCATTTCTCTGCCATTGATGCTAAAAGTATTAGGATCGCACAGTGGTTGTCATGGCAACGCAGCGCAGAGGCGCACCTGGTACCAGGAGTATGCTCGCCTCGAAGGGCTCAGCAGCAGAGTGATGATCTTTGCGTTGGGAAGCAGCGCGTGTGCGCGCGCCGGCACCACCTCACTCTCAAAGTAGGTAGCGCTTTTCTCAAACAGGTATATCGGACCAGCATCCGCCGCCGGCTTCGGAAAGAAATTCATGTACCTGCAGCACAGCATGCAATCGTTACGTCTCGCGACCTTATCCAGACAGCTTCGTGTCACCAGCAGCGATTCATCAGTCATTAACATTAGGGTAAGGTTTAATACATCAGTCATTAACATTAGGGTAAGGTTTAATACATCAGTCATTAACATTAGGGTAAGGTTTAATACATTAGGGGTCGCCGGC